GCGGGAGACCCAACAACATTTCTGACGAATGGCAGTCCAATCTCTTTTTAAAGGTCTCAAGTGATGGCGCTCCCACAACTTCCGAGGGCAGGCTGTTCCATTGGTTGATAGTTCTCATTGTCAGAAAGTTTCTCCTTATTTCAAGTATTTAAATCTTATTTAATTATTTAAATTATTTAAATATTATTTAAATCTCTCCTTGTTCAGTTTCCATCCATTATTCCTTGTCTGGCCTACAGGCGCTTTAGAAAATAGCTTGACCCCTTCCTCTCTGTGGCAGCCCCTCAAATATTGGAAGACTGCTATCATGTCTCCCCTGGTCCTTCTCTTCACTAGCCAAGCCCAGTTCCTGTAACTGTTCTTCATATGTTTTAGTCTCCAGTCCCCTAATCATCCTGGTTGTTCTTCTCTACTTTTTCTAGAGTTTCAACATCTTTTTTAAACTGGATGCAGTACTCTACGTGTGGTCTTACTAGGGCTTTATAGAGTGGTATTAGTACCTCACTTGATCTCGCTTGTATCCCTCTGTTAATGCAACTTAGGATTGCATTAGTTTTTTTGGCGGTGGCTGCACACTACTAGCTCATATTTAGCTGGTTGTCCATTAAGACTCCAAGATCCCTCTCACAGTTACTGCTATTGAGCCTAGTTTCACCCAGTCTATATGAGTACTTTAGGTTTTTCTTGCCTAAGTGTAGGACTTTACTTTTCTCTACATTGAATTTCATTTTGTTAGATATGGCCCAGTGTTCTAATCTGTAAAGATCCATCTGGATCTTGAGCCTATCTTCTTGGCTGTTAGCTATTCCTGCCAACTTAGTATCATCTGCAAATTTGGTAAGTTTGGTACCAATATTTGCATATATTGATAGAAATAAGTACAGAAAAATTTGAAAATTAGTTCTTCGTGTCTCTCTGCAGCCAGAATTAGGCTATCATAATCAATGTAGCTTTAACTATACCAAATTCATACAGACATTTACAAAGAGTTAAGAATACTTTGCAATAGTTTCAAATCCATTCCTTTTGACAGATTTGGGTCATTTTAATAGGTTTCCCACTTAATTCATCGCCTTGGAGGCTAAATTTGAAGGGGATTTGAACATCCCATTTTTTTTAAGAGCAAAGTCAAAAATAAAAGTCCTTGACTGAGCCATTAATAGGTATAGGGATATCTTATATGTCTCCCAAAATAATATACAGAAGACTGGGAGGCTGAAATCTAATCAGATTTCTAAATTTGCCTTGTTCTGTGATACAAAGCATATAAATTCAAGCCATTCTTGTCTTGAATTTAGTAAAATGTGTCTTATGGATATACACTGTCTTTTTTTTTTTTTTTGACATTACAACATATTCTCCCAATTTATTCTTCCTGTCTGGTCATCTCCCCCTTTTATAATCCATTTCTCATTTATTATTAGAACACTTTTTCATAAAGTATTTTTAAGAAATTAAGTAGAATGTCTGCTGTAATTATTGAATAGTGCAATCTCTAAATGTAATTAAAAATAGTAAAGCTACAGGTAGTCCTCAATTTATGACCACAATTGGGAGCAGAATTTCTGTTGCTAAATAGAGCAGTTGTTGACTGAGTCACACCCAATTTTATGATCTTTTTTGCCATGATTGTTAAGCAAATCATTGCAGTTATTAATGGAATAATGCAAATCTGGTTTCCTCCATTGACTTTGCTTGTTGGAAGTCAACTCGCAAGGTCACAAATAGAGACCATGTGACCCTGGGATGCTGCAATTTCATAAATACATACTGGTTGCCAAATGTCAGAATTCTGATGCTGTGACTGTGGAGATGGTGCAATGGTTGTAAGTCACTATTTTCAGTGCTACTTCTAACTTTGAATGGTCATTAAACAAATGGTTGCAAATCAAAGATTACCTGCAGTCAAAATCTAGTACTGTTTTACACGAAAAGTGAGATGTTACTTCCAAGTAATAAAGCCAGATGGACAGTAAAATTTCAACTGTGGAGAAAAGAAAATCTCTTCTGCTGTCCTACCTGAGACCAGTAGCATTGTTCAGTGTTAGCACACATTGACTTCATTTTCTTTTAAACACGGACAAGCATGTTCTAACAATGCTAGCCTGGGGTAATAGTCAAGCTATTGACTAGTACTGAGACAACCCAGATTCAAGCCCATATTTACCTATAGAAGTTTCTTGACTTATTTAGGGCAGAGGTGTCAAACTCAAGGCTTGGGAGGGCCATGTGTCAGAGAGCTGCAGAAGGCCATCTCAGCTGAAAATGGAGCCTGAAAATGAGTGATGTCGAGCTAGCCACATGCACCCTGGCCACGCTCATCCAGCCCCCAAGGTCAAACACAACCCTGATGTGGCCATCAATGAAATCAAGTTTGACACCTCTGATTTAGAGCCAGTGGGTCCCTCTCAACCGAACACACCGAACCCAGTTGTGGTCATGGGGAGAAATGTGAAAAGGCAGCACTTTGTTTCCTGAAGTCTTTTTTATACAGCTCACTTCCTTTCCTCATTACTGTCCACTTTTTATAACTTTCTCCCCCAGCAAGATAAAGGACTTGAAAGCAGAGTTCCAATATTTTATTTAAAGAAGGAGGAGGAATCTTTTCATTCGTTTATTGTGCTTTAACGGTAGTTTGAAATGTATTTTTATCTTCAGATGCACCAGACTTCCTTCTGTTGTAGTCTCCAGAGAATAATAAAATATGCAGAATAGGATATTTGTTGACCAGCTGCCACTTTATTTGTCATTTTCAATCCCCCGCCCCACACACACACTAAATAAAAGAATGATTGTCCAGCAAGTATAGGTAGTTCTCGACTTACAACTCCAATTGGGTCCAAAATTTATGTTGCTAAGTGAGAAATCTGTTAAGTGAATTTTGCCTTAGTTTACAACTTTTCTTGCCCCAATTTGTTAAGTGAATCACTTCAGTTGTTAAGTTAATAACACAGTTGTTAAGTGAATCTTAGCTTCCCCATTGACTTTGCTTCTGAGAAAATCACAAAAGGGGATGACATGACCCTAAGGTTCTGCAACTGTCATAAATATGAACCAGTTATTAAGCATCTGAATGTAAATCACATGACCATGGGGGACACTGCAATGCTCATAAGTGTGAAAAATGGTCTTAAGTCACTTTTTTCAGTGCAGTTGTAACTCTGAACGGTCATTAAATGAACTGTAGTAAGTCAAGGACTACCTGTAGTCAATTTCAATCTCTTGTTCCATTGAATCAGAACTGGGCAGTGATACAACTACAACAGAATATACCTCCCCTCCCCGTTCTCAGGGTTACTTCTGGGATCATCACATATGATTATTTAAACTTGGGAAATGCTCAAATGGGGTGTAGAAAATGGGCAGACAAAACAGAGTCAAGGGAGACCCACCAAGGCCTGTCATAAAGCCCAGGTGTTTTTCCCATTAGTGGGTTATGTGATTAAACTAACGGGCAGCAAATTCTGAAGAGGAAAACCAATTGATTACAAGTAGCACATTCATTCGACAGTGATTCACAACAAATGCAGAATCAGGATTGGAATTGGGAATAGTTTATTTCTTACCATTTTAAAACGAATGAATTCCACTGACTTAATAGCAGGGAAAGGCCATTAGTTGTATCCTGCAATCCCGGATTATTCCCAGATCTATTGTCTTATTCTCCCATGTGAAGGAGATCAACCCAGCAGCTAAAATAAAGTTTCTATATTTATTCATGCTTAATTTTCCCATACTGAAACGGGTGGGTTTTAATTTCAATTATACTGGATTCCTAAAAGTAATGCATAAAAGTGAGTTATAATTGTCCTTCTTTTTTCTTATACTCTTCTCAGTCTGCTTTTATTTGACATTCATAAACACTATAGAGACATTGAAGGCAATTAGTCAAATATATAGAGATGAAAAACTGTATAAAACCAGCAGAAACTAAAAAAAATACAGCAACATATACAATGAGTGGCTTGTAATGGTATTTGAAGGACAAATTATTTGTCAGTTTTAAAAGATTATAGAGAAAGCAAGTTGCTGTCAGAACAGTGATGTGTCTTGCTTCAAATTAAAGACATATGTCATAAGAAACCAAATAAGTGTTTTTTCATATTATTACAGCAAAGGTCTCCATTATGACACTCTTAGCAGATTAATACATTGCATTGCATCAATTTTACATCATTTTCTAATCCAATTTCTCTAAGCCTGATGTATTTGACTGCTACAAGTCTGTCAGCAAAGTGGATGTTAGTTGATAATTCTGGCAATTGAAGACCGATGTATCTAGACAGTATAGCCAGGGGTGAGAAGGAGAAGAAGAGAGAATATCTGTTCTATCTAGGACTGATAGAACCACTTCCAAGTCCCTCAGTTTCCAGAACACATCTATACATTTATCTACATTCATGTGCAAACTCAGTCATTATCAGTATGACTAAGTATACATGTGTTCCTTCATCGCTGGACAAGGTAATATTAATAAATAACTTGGATGTATGAAATAACTATTATCAATTGCCAACAACAGAGCTGTCACAACACAGCATTTTCATCTGCAGCCAGTTCACATAACAACTTAGAAATGTAACAGGTTTGTCAGATTACACTAAAGACTTACCTTCTTAGCATATGGATTCCCATAATAGCCAACAAATACCCTTTGGAAGATAAGGAGCCAAAGGCCCAACTTCCATATATAAAACCCTCTAAACATATCACCTATAGGAAATCTGCTACAAGCTAAGAGTTTTTTTCACTGTCATTTTCTAGTTCTAAAATGTCCTTTTCATGGATGGGACACCCTAAAAGACACAATGCTCTCAAAACAGCTATACAATTGAATTACACAAAAATGCTGCAATACTATTTAGATTCAGTTTCACTCCTGAACATTCTTTACCAACCTGACAAATTGATTTGACATCTTCTGTGAATCATGTTCTCAAAACATTTCGTCTTCATTATAGTCTATTCAGGACTCCTTCCATATTTATGGGGTGGATGAGGTAAGAGAACACTTGTCTAATCTTGATGAATACAAAATCACCCAGAACTGATGGATTACATCCCAGCATTCTAAAGGAGTTGGCAGATGTCATCTCAGAACCACTGTACCTCATCTTTCAAAAATCCTAGAGCACCAGGGAACACAGAGGACTGGAAAAGAGCTGATGTGGTTCTCATCTTCAAAAAAAAAGTGGGGGGGAACCATACAGAACAATCAACCTAACATAAATATCCAGGAAGATATTGGAAAAGATAATAAAACATATAGAAGATAATGCCAACATCTAGAAATAAGTAAAGTAATAACTAGCAGTCAGTATGGGTTTATTAAAAACAGTTCATGCCAAAACAATCTTATTTCATTTTTCAACATAGTGACTAAATTAGTAGACCAGCAAAATACTGTGGACATAATATTCTTAGACTTCAGCAAGGCATTCGACAAAGTAGACCACAAAATACTTCTTGGTAAGCTAGAAAAAAGGGGAATAGATGGCATGACCATCAGATGGGTTTGTAACTGGCTGACAAACTATACTCAACAAGTAGTCCTTAATGGTATTACATCTACATGGAGGGAAGTAAGCAGTGAGGTACCACAAAGTTCTGTCTTAGGCCCAGTACTCTTCAATATCTTCATAAATTACTTAGATGAGGGAATAGAAGGGGAACTTACTAAATGTGCAGATGATATCAAACTGGCAGGAATAACTAACACCCTAGATCAGTGGTGGCTAACCTTTTTTGGCTCCCGTGCCGATAATTGTGCGCACGCTTGCTTGTGTGTGCTTGTGTGCCAGCACCCAGAAGGCAATGCATGCTGGCCCCCCGCCCCCTGTGCAGGCACGCACGACCCTCCTTGTGCGCCGTGCATCTGCACATGCGCACATGATTTTCCCCCTTGCACACCATGTGTCTTTGTGCATGCGTGAGCAGTTCCCTCGTGTGCTGTGTGTCTGCGCATGTGTATGCAATTCCCCCCTCATGCTCCGTGCATCTTTGCACATGCGTGTGTAACTCCCTCCTCACGCACAGCACACGTGTGCGCTTTTCCCCCTTGCATGCAGCATGTCTGTGCATGCATGTGCGATCCCCTCACGCACAATGCATCCCTGCACATGCACGCACGTCTCCCGCAAACCCCCCCTCTGTCCCCTGCACATGCACACCAGATACCCAACAATCAGCTGTCGGGCTGCACATGCGCAGTACAGCTCTTCTGGGAAACCTCTCGCATGCTGGGGGAAATGGCTCTGTGTGCCACTTCTGGCACGCGTGGCATAGGTTTGCCAACACAGCCCTAGATGATAAGCTCAAGATACAGATGGATCTTGACAGACTTGAACACTGGGCCCTATCTAATAAAATGAAATTCAGTGTACAGAAAAGTTAAGTCTTAGGCAAGAAAAACAAAAAATACACATATAGACTGGGTGAAACCAGGCTTAATAGCAGTAACTGTGAGGGGGATCTAGCAGTGTGCAACAGCAGCCAAAAAAGCCAATGCAATCCTAAGTTGCATTAACAGAGGGATACAATCAAAATCAAGTGAGGTACTAATACCACTCTAAAAAGCCTTAGTAAGACCACACCTAGAGTACTGCATCCACTTTTGTTCACCACACTATAAAAAAGATGTTGAGTCTCTAGAAAGAGTACAGAGAAAAGCAACCAAGATGATTAGGGGACTGGAGGCTAAAACACATGTTGAACGGTTGCAGGAACTGGGCATGGCTAGTCTAATGAAGAGAAGGACCAGGGAAGACATGATAGCAGTCTTCCAATATTTGAGGGGCTGCCACAGAGAGGACGGCGTCAAGCTATTTTCCAAAACACCTGAAGGCCAGACGAGGATTAATGAATAGAAACTGAACAAGGAGAGTTTCAACCTGGAAATAAGGAGAAATGTTCTGACAGTGAGAGCAATCAACCAATGGAACAGCTTACTTCCGGAAGTTGTTGGAACTTCATCACTGGAAGCTTTCAAGGTGAGACTGGACTGCTATCTGTCAGAAATGGTGTAGGGTCTGCTTGGGTGGGGGGTTCAACTAGATCAGCATTTGCCAATCGGTGGGCCGTAGCCCACTGGTGGTCTGTGAGAAAATTTTGGTGGTCCGCAGAGAAATGTCACCCCCAGAGCACCCCCAAAGCAATTAATTCAGGCTGTGCAGGAACACAAGACCAGCAGGAACCATCCCCGCCTACTCACTCCTTACCTTGTCATCAAACTTACCTGCTAAGTTGCTATTTTTCCTTTTTTTCCCCAACCATCAGCTGTTCTACTGCGCCAGGAGATTTAGATTAGCTAGAAAGCAGGAAATCCTTGCATTTCTTGCTTTCTAGCTAGTCTTTAGATATTCGGCTGTGCTTTTAAGCAGAACCGAACCTTCCTTACGACTGAAGCTTCTATTCAGTGCAGACTCACTGCAAGCAAATTTTATGTGACAGACTCAGGTAGCCAATGGCAAATAGATTTGCCTCTGAATGATTCTATGAGCAACTCAATCTGCCTGCCTGCTTTGCCTGATTTTGGGTAAAAGTTGCTCTTTTTTAATTAAAAATTCAATATTTATATAAATATTTATAATATTTACATACAAGCCATGCCCAGCCAGTCACATGGCCACCAAGCCACACCCACAAATTAGGCCATGCCTACAGAACCGGTTGTTAAGAAATTTGAACCCCTCCCCTGCTCCTGCCACCATCAGTCAAAATTCATATTAATGGTCCCCAGGATTTAAAATTATGAGTTTGGTGGTCCCTGAGGTCCAAAAGGTTGGCGACCCCTGGACTAGATGACCTACAAGGTCCCTTCCAACTGTAATCTGTAATCTGTATGGTAGGGAGAGAAAACATTAGATCAATCTACTAATTTGAAAAGATACTTTTAAGGTTCCTTCATAGTCTTGTTTCATTACCACCATATAATATAGTTCACTTCCATTAATTATAACATTATATTATGTTAACTTGTCATGAACTAATGCAGGGTATATCTGTATGGATAATCTCTGTGGATGGAAAAAAGCCCATTGGATCAGATTTCACAAATTGTACCTAGAGAAACAACATTTCATCTTGTACTAGACTGCTGGGTATATAAAAACTCATTTGTTTCTTTTTCTGTTGTAGAAATCTCACAAATACATTCCTAGCATGAAATTATAGACACTGAATTTAGTGATAAAAGTGCAAATTTTTGCATATAACTTTAATTTAAAAATGTGTACAAAGAGAGAAGGGACTCTATATCATGCCATGCAACTTTCACATCTTACACTAAATAATACATTTTATAATTATATTGTGAAAAGACTGAACTAGAACACACCACCTTCAATACATAGAAAAATGTTCTGTTTTCTTTAAAAAAAGAAACATGAATGGAACCAAATAAATATTATCTATTTAATAAAAATATGTCCATAATTAAATGCATTCTAAAAGGATCTTATTTCCTGAATGGTATAAAATAGATATTTCATATATATTTTCATATATAAACCCTCAATAAAAGTACTATGCAAATGAAACCAATTCCTGTTATAGTCTAGTAATTGAATCATTTATGCATATTTTCCTAATAAAGTTGCTACATTCATAATTAGCAATTTTTCTTTAAACCAATATTTACTGTACTTATAACTAAACACAGTAAATTGCAAATAATTATTTATAACTTACAGCAGTACAGAAGATGTACTAAATAAAAAGGCAAGGTTGTTAAGAGCTGTAGTGAAAAACCAGCTCTGGATGTAATCACCATCCAAAATAAATATGTGTAAGTCTCTTCTGGATCGGTGACTTATTTATGGAACTAATTTCCCATATCCATTTAAATAGCGCCTATATTGATCAACTTTTGGAATTATATGATAAATTAGGACTAATTGAATTTGCTTACGTTTAAAATTCAGTCTATCAAAAGCATTGTTACTTTTTAGCAATCATTGTACTATTAGATTTAAAATGTTTGTAAGCATTTTCAAAAACTAACGTCTTCAAGGAAAAACAAAGTCCAGTTGCCTTTTGAAAAAGCACGTTTTGGACAACCATTACCTGGATGACTAAAAATCTCCACAGACATTATGCTATTAATATTAATTTTTAAAATGATAGATGAAATAAATTTAAAAGATACATGGAGAGAAAGAAATGCTAAGACTAAACAATATACCTTCTATTCAAACAGACATTTATCATGGTCCAGAATAGATATGAAATGGATGTCAACAGAATTGTTAGCTAATATTCAAGAAATAAATATTGAAACAAGTACTTGGGCAGATCACAATCCAATGACAATTAAATGGAAAGGACAAAGAAGAAGATCTAGATGGACGTTAAATAATACTGTTTTAAAGGAAAAAGACTTCACACAGTGGATGGAGAAAGAACTGGCTTTTTTCTTTAGAGAAAACAAAAAAGAAGATACATCAATCCAGAATGTATGGGATACAATGAAGGCATATGCCAGAGGCTTGATAATAGACTATACAAGGAAAAGAAATACCATGAAAAGATTAGCCTCTAAGGCAGGGGTGGGCAAACTTTTTGGCTTGGGGGCCACATTGACTTTTAAAATTTGACAGACGGGCCGGGTCAGCACAAGATTTTTTGGGAATCGCCCCCCCACCCTTCCCCCCCTCTTCTCCTCCTTCCCCTCCCCTCGGAGTCCCCCTGAGTCAGGAGTTGCTACTGCCGGCGCGGCTCCGCGCGGCTCCAGTCCCGTGTTGCCTCGGGAAGGGAAAGGCAAAGAATCGCGGCGGTGCTTTGCAACGGCAGCAGCAGCACCGGAGGCTCAGGCTCAGCGGCTCCTGGTTTTGCCTTCTCCTTCCCAAAGCAACGCGGGACTGGAGCCACGTGGAGCTGCGCCGGCAGTAGCAACTTCTGACAGCCCCAGCCGGACACCTGAGTGGAGCCCGGGCAGAACTGCCTGTTGCTGCTGCCGGAGCACCGCCGGGTCGCCTCCTCCAAGCAGCCCGCCCACCCGCCGGGCTTCCCCTCCGCCGCGCGGCTTGGGGCCAGGCGCGAGCACCCGCAAGTTAAAAGGAAGCCGAAAGTTGCTGGGAAGC